TTTTGATAATGAGAAGCGGAGAAAATGCCAGTATTCAGGATGGATGCTGATGTGAAAGCAACCTTGAGGTCAATAAGAACAAACCAGTCTCCCTGCCTGAGCATCTGGATAGTACCATCAAGGGAGACCATGTGAAAACGTCAAGGCGTAATGTAAAAATTCAAGGGTCTGAGATTGAGGATAGGTCGAAGTCTACCATCTTTCTTGAGTATAATGAAGTAGCGTGAGAAAAAGCTGCTTGAGATGTCAGGATTTTCCACCAAGATGACAGCATCCTTAGAGAGTAGCTTGTCTACCTCCTCATGCAAAACAGGTGAAGTGTCTGTATTTCTGACAAAACCTGTGCAAAGTGTGGAGTTGAACTTATTTGCATAACCAGTGGTAATGATGGTGAGAACCCAAGATTCAGAGGTGATCCCTCCAGGCATCAAAAAAATTGGGCTAGTCTAACCCTGTGAATCAGTGGTGCTGGCAGCTGCAGATGGCTAAACCAGCTGCCTGGCTTTCTGGTCCTGGTGACGGGACTGTTGGTGTTGTCTTTGCCTGCCAGCTTGTTGGCGGGACTGACCTCAGGAAGTCCCCTGTTGAGACCAGGACCTCGAGGAATAAGACCTGCGCCAGAAACCCCTAGATGTAGACTGGACCTCGAGGAATAAGACCTGCACCAGGAAGCCCTAGATGTAGACTGGGCTGAGATGGACCTGGCCGTCTTCCTATGTTTAATCAGGCTTTCCAAGATCTCATCCATCTTTGGATCGAAGAGCCCCTGCCCATCAAAAGGGAGATCTTTGGTCCGGTTCTTTACATCATCCATGATGGATGCAGAGCAGAGCCACGCATGTCTATGGAGGGCAACCGAAATGGCCAGCTGCTTCGATGAAATGTCCACAATACACCTGGCAGCTACCCTCTCCTGACAACCCAGAGACATGGCCTCCTGGCGGTGTGCGAGACAAGTGGCTTTTAACTCCTCCAGTGCAGCACTGAGGACAGGGAGGACTGCATTCCACAGATGTCTGTGATATGCCCCCATGGCAGCAAGACAGTACTTTAGCCGTAAAGTAAAGGTGGCGAAGGAATAGGCCCTCCAGCCCAAAGTATCCAACTTCCTGCCCTCCTTGTCTGAAGGGGTCGATGAAATCTTGGACCGAGTTCTGGACTGCATGGCATCCACCACCAGAGAGTTGGGTGGAGGATGCTTTGCAGGAGGATGCTTCGTACCAGTCCTGTGAACCTTGTAAAGGTTCTCAACCCAACATGGCACCTGCTGGGAGGTTGAAGGTCTATCCCAAGACTCCTTAGCTAGACTGAGGAGAGAGGGAATGGAAGCCAACCTGATGGGTGCGAGCTAGTCTTTGGTCATATCTTCAAAGATCTTGTCCGGTTGCTCCAGCTGCGGCTGGACCACTGCCAGGTCCAGAACATCTGCAATCCTTTTAATCAGCTGAGTATAGTCCTCCGATGGAGAGGGAGGATGACTGTCAATGGTGACTGATGCTGAAGTAGGGATGTCAGGTCAAGAGGTGTCTCTGATTTCCCCTTTGTCTGAGCCCGAGTCAGACCTGGGCTCAAGGGCATGGTCTGCAGAGTGAGTAGGTGAAAACTCCCTAGGAAACTCTTGAGTCAGATTCCAGGCCAAGCAGGTCCTCCAGGAATTTGTCTCCTTGATCCCGAGGAGATGGGGCCAGTGACAGAGGGCCTGCGCTGGTAACTCTAGACGGCACCTGGGGTCTTGGGTAAGGGGTAAGACGGGCAGGGGGCTGTTCTTTAGCCCAAGGCTGTGAAGGAGGGTCAGCTGGTCTCCAGAAGCAGTCCTCTATGTAGGGCGAGAACCGCTAGAACCGATGACAAAAAGCCTGCCATTAGTGAAAAGCAAAAAGGCAGCCAGGTAAAAAGGCGTCGGAAAAGCCGAACACTCAAGCTCGAAGCCTCTTGAGCTCAGAGGGTGTTGAAAATCTCCCTGCAATGGTCGAGGTGGAGCCAGCTCAGGCTCAACATGCCTCATCTTCCTTTTTCTCTTCTGAGGAGGAGGGGCCATGGGCTCAGAAGGAGGAGGGAGCACAGACACTGATCGAGCCCTAGGTGAAACCTGCGGTGCCCCAAAGGATTGGCTTCGCACAGGAGAAACTGGTGCCACCGTTCCAGAGGGCGGAATGAGCTTGCGGTCCAGCACCTTGAGCTCAACAGATGGTAAGGGAGCTGGGGAACGAGATGGAGCCACTGGCAACATAGCCCTCTTTTTTTTTTTGACCGGCCTGGGCTTGAAGGAGGCCTCAACACTGCCATGGAGGCCGTTGACTTCAAGCCCAAGGAGGACAATTTCCCTGGTCTATTTGGCTATGGTGGAGAGCGCCCGGAAACAGAAGTCTCAGACAGTGGGGCTTCTCGGGGGGTCCATCGCAGGAGGGTCAAGAGACTTTGACCAGAGGAACGCCATCAGCCTGTCTTGCCTGCGCTTTAGGGCAGGCTTGGTAAAGGCCTTGCAATGGACACAAGAGGCCAGCTGGTGCCCTTTCCCCAAACAAAAGAGGCACTTGGAATGGCCATCCTTAATAGTCACTCGCATTGCAGGCCGCACAGCGCTTGAAAGGAATTTCATAGGCCATACACGCCCCCAAACTCAGTTTTATGTTTCAGTCCAACTCATAAACCAGAAGAGTCAAAAGTCTGGTCCATGGTTAAATGATGGGAGGTCCAATAATGAATGTTTTAGGAACAAGCGAAATTGCAAAGAAGCTCCGACCGCTGCTGCTACAGTGGCGGCAGGAAATGGAACTGAGGCACTTAGTGCCAGAGGCGGAGATATAGCCTAGGTGGGAGGTCCTGGCACCAAGTGCTTAAAGCTGTAGAAGCTTCCGAGTCTGCTCTGCTCATATGCAGATTAACCCATTAGTGTGCATTCACAGAGACCACAAAGGAAGAACTATATTAGCAGCCTTGTAGGAGAAAGTGTAGCAGTGAAAAAAATAAAGTGGGAAAAAAAGGCATGTTCCCTGAGGAAGAGTCTGAGGATTAAAAAGAATGAGGTTGGGAATTGGGGAAAGAAAGCCCAGCACAAGGTTAGCTTTTCTTCCTACCATATTCCTTGACTTCGAACGGTGTGCTGAAGCTCTCCTCTGGGGAGTCTTGATACTTGGCCACAACCTTCCAGGTCCCCAAACTAGAAAAAGAAAATGAAAAATTTCTTCTGCACACACATACCTGCCCCTTATGAGCAATACAATAGGAACCCCCATAGATGCCAAAATCTGTGGATAACTGCAAATGATATATATAGCATGGTCTCTGGTTCTCCCTAGGGGCCACATCTGGTAACTAAATTGTGAAAATACATACAGTATTTCTGAGATTTTTTCTATTAATATTTTTAATATTTTCAGACTATAGATAACCAAAACCATGGATATCAATCCTGCAGATATGAAGGTCTTACTCTACCTGTGATCACACATGCTAGGAATTAACTAAAAAGGCGCACCCCACCTCACACCAAAAAAACAGTAGTCCTGCAGATTATTCAAAAAGGACTGTTTTGACACTCAAATGGGCCAGGCTGGCACATAGAAATAGACCACACTTCATGGTATGTTCAGCAGCTCAAAACGGGGGAGAAATCAAAGTGTACCCGGCCTTCAAGACCAGCAATAGCAACTACTACAAAAATGCAATATGTGTGACTGCCCAGATTATTCTTAGCTTAATATTAAATGGATTTTGTTCTTTTTTATAAAAAGCTCAGATTCTGTGCAGGTTTGCAGTACTGCAATCTGTGGTAAACTACCTGACAAGTTCTGGTATGTTGTAAGTCCAGGAAAGTGTTGAATTCATCATCTTCTGGCTGACAATAATGTCTTCTGGTGTCTGGATGGGGGGAAAGCAAGTTGTTTAAAATGTTTGATTGCACGAAAAATGCCTGAACATATTATTCATTTCTCACATATAGAGATGGGCACAAACCTTGTTTTAGAGCTCCATGCTGGTTTGCATGTGTGGCACCAGAGGTTTCCTTCCCCCCACCTCCCTGGCTGAATCCAGCACCCACTAGCTTTTCTCCTCCTCCTCTTTAGCTGTTCAACCAGTCTCTGGCTGGAGTACAGGGTTCCCTGCCCCACCTCCTCGGCTGTTCACCCACTCAGGCAAGGAGGCAGCACAGGCAAACTCCAGCTGGAGACTTGTCAAACAGCTGAACAGGAAGAGGAGAGCAGCATGTGTTGGCTGGTGAGTAGGTCACTGGCCAGGGAGGCAAGGGAAGAGAAAGTGAGGCACCTTTGGTGCTAATCACACAAACTGGCACATACCTCAGACTCACATCATAAGAGTTCTTGTGAAGCACAAGATTCAGCCTGTCTCTACGATCGTTGTCTGCTATCAGAAGCTAAGTAATATACAAAACAGAGCACTGAACCCAGACTCTCAGGACCTAGATCCAAATCCCAATACAGCCACAAAACACAACTGGCTGGCCCTGGGCTAAGCCATAACTCTGAACTGCCTTGAGGATAAAAGTGGCCACTTCAAGCATATCATGAATATGTAAGACATATATTAATTTGGCGAAAGCAACCTTTCAGAGAAATGCATCTTTCCCGCTCTTACATAATTTCCTCCCAACCATGTGAACTGCTTTGTCATGCTTAGCTCCATAATTAGACATGCAAAGGAAGCCACTTCATACATTTCCAAAATAATCCCAGGGAAACATATGCTTCCTTCTGAACATGTATTCACATTTGCCTCTTTTACCTGCTTGATGGAGCATGCCTCCTAGAATGAGATTTCACTGTGCTTTGGTGGAATTGGGCAGCATTTGCTTTTTTTTTTTTTAAATCCTGATTGAAGATTTAATAAAAGCACACACAAGCTATCCCTGCCAAAAATGCTATGAAGGTCTTCCTCAGTTATAAACACATTCCCACAAAACCATGCAAGAAGACCAACAGTCACTGATTACGCACATGATGACATCTATGGCACACACTTGAACACACAATCAAAGAGACAACTGCTTTTTTTCCATTTTCTTTTTTTATTGAACACACAATACTTACCACAATCTCAACAACCACATGTTTGTCCAAATGTCCCATGCTGTGATCCACAGAAAAGATACGGTAGCGCACTAAGAGACAAGAGGTTATTATTTAGTGGAGATGACTTCACAAGGTGGAAAATATAAAACTCCTTTTCTCTGCAGCTGTTTGATGTCTCACTGAGTCTCAAAAGCCAAGCACTGGAAATTTGTCCAGAAAGGTCAAACATTAATGTACATCCTTTTGCTTCACAGACAGCAACAATCGCCAGGGCTTCAGAGAAGAGATCCAGATCACTTTCAACAACACCTTTTCTTCATCTCCAGATCACCTTCACCTGGTTTATCTGACTTACTGAGAGAACTCTATTTGTTTGGCCTTGCCTTTTGAGGATACAACAGAATGGGAGGTGGAACAGAAATGGATCAGCTGCAAAGCTGCACCTGGTAAGTCAGTTAGTTTCAGCCAACCACAGAGAAGTCAGCACACAGAGAGAGATGGAAATCAGACTTATTTACAGTTTGTTAATCATTTGAATCTACTACTCCCCAAACCTGTTGCTTGTTTCCCTCTTCCAGGGACATGGACTCAAAGTTAAAGCAGAGCTACCTTAAAACGTTCTCCTCTCCGTGTATGTCTTTGTGTGTGTGTATGCTTCAGTTGCCTAGTTGTCTTACACTGGATTAGCAAGTCTTGTGAAGGAAAAAGAAAAGCAAAGATACTAAATGGGAAGGGAAGGTGAAAGCAGCACCAAGCACCAGGCTTGGGGAAGAGAGGGTTGAAGGCAACCTCTTTCCTTGATGCACTGCCTCTCTCACTGCTGCTGTCAGCAAGTGGAATATAACAGCTACAAATCCCTCCAATATCACCTCAAGCAATCATGCTGCCCAAACCAAATGTATTCAGTTCCAAAAAGTAGAAGCCCCGGTAATGGAGGAAAAAATGGTGGGGTGGGGTAACTCCTACATGATTTGCATTAACTTTTACATTATGTAGACAATGGAAAACACTGCAAATCAGCCCATCCCAATCCAAGAGTATTTCTTGTATTATTTGTCAATGTAACCATACTCTGACTCTGTTTTTAGACTTCCCTTGCCTGGTTTATCAGTTCACTGGATGTGACCTGCCTATATTGCCCTCAAAACCAGTGGGACTAGACTAGACCCTTTGGAAACACAACATGGTAGGCAAAGAACACAACTCCCCCAACAAAATAACCCACAAACCACCTTCCTTGAATTTTATAACTACCTTGACTTTACTCATTGGCCACAGCATCCTCTTGGACGTAATTTTTCCTTTCATAATCTGCGATACACATTCCAGCAGCACATCAGTTATTTCATTTTTCAGTTTATGTATTTTTATTTAAGAGTAGCTAGCAAAAGGGTTTATTGCATTTTATTGTATTTTCGTATCATTATATAGTAATTTTTTATGAATTGACTGTCTACTATGAGCAACCCAGAGACTGCCAACATTAATGTGTTACTATAGAAATGGAGATTTACAACACCTTCTAGAACTGACACTAAAGAAAGATGTTCTTCTCATTCTAGGGGACTGGAATGCTAAAGTAGGGAGCCAAGAAATAAAAGGAACAACAAGGAAGTTTGGCCTTGGAGTTCATAATGAAGCAGGGCAAAGGCTAATAGAGTTTTGTCAAGAGAACAAGCTGGTCATCACAAACACTCTTTTCCAACAACACAAGGGGCGACTCTATACATGGAAATCACCAGATGGGCAATACCGTAATCAGATTGATTATATTCTCTGCAGCCAAAGATGGAGAAGCTCTATACAGTCAGCAAAAACAAGACCTGGAGCTGACTGC